CAGGCCATATTATTTACACCATAGGGTAAATGTCGCTGATAGATAGCAAGCACCGGCCTCCGAACCCTGGTTGCTATTTCTCAACTGCAAATGGCAATGTGAGGGATCTTTTGTTGCTCAGGGGAGAAGCAGTGTGTTTATGGTGATGCTCTACCCCTTCTGTATTTACTGCTTTCCTCCACCTGGCACAGAGGATACGCAACCAGGAGGAAGAGGGCTTTCAGGAGGAAAAGTGGTAGGCAGGGTGCATCTTAACCCCGCCCGGCTTCTCCCCTGCAAGACACCTCTGCAACTTTGCAGAGGATGATATTGGCCAGTGTGGTGGGACCAGTAGTAGTTGGTGGACTCTGGACTTGGAGGGGTTGCTTGGCAGTCCCAGACGTTGCGTGAGCAAGGCCAAATTGCTCTGGTTTTCTCCCCATCCTCCTCCCTGGCAAAGAGCAGTGGCAGTGGCGTAGCGTGGGTTGTCAGCACCCGGGGCAAGGCAAGTAATTTGCGCCCCCTAACCCGGTAGGGGCAGAGAGCTGTGAGTGCGAGCGCGCCCCCCCAGATGTTGCGCCTGGTGTGGCCGGCCCCCCCTGCACCTCCCACGCTACGCCACTGAGCAGTGGACACATAAGTAGTGCTGCTCTAGCAAACCTGTGATATAATAAAGGAACATCACAATGTGAGCAATTTGTTGTTATCGCGGCTATTATGGCGTGCCTCTAAACAAATGTCACTTCATTTAGATTATCTTCTCTGTAAGAGCATTGTGGAAGCAATCCTATCCCGTGTACACTTGGCCAAGAAGTGGCGCACTGTGTGACCTTGGTCCAGGCACTGCCTCTCAGCAAAATTGCTATGAAGAAAACGTGTCACCTTGAGCTTCTTGGATAAAAGGTGGGATATAATCAATCAATACATTGTTTTCTATTAATCATAATCATGTACATAGAGCCCTCCTGGGACAGCCTGGCATTCTGTTCCTGACCAGATGCCTATGTAAACTGCAAGAGCAGAACTGAGCAATGTTCTGCAGCAAGAGAGCAACTGTGCAACATACGGTAATCCTATGGATGTTAAGTCCTTCTGTATTAGATGGCACTTACTGCTATATAAGTGTATGAAGAAATCAGATTTTTCCAGTATTCTTTTCACATCTTGCTCCAAGACAGATGATGACAAACAAAAATAACCAAACAAGCCAGGATGTCTTAGGATTCCGATAGAAAGTTCTCTCACATGCGTGGTACCTGAGAACTCACAACTAAGTTACTTAGATATAACATCAGAGATATCTGAAATCTCACATATCAATTTAACATGGAATTCATGCAGCTTTTAAGCAAAATCCACACCACATCGCACATGTGTGAATACATTTCTAGTTGGAGAAATGCGGTGTGAGAACATTAATCCCCACAATATGATGGGGGACTTTGTGAATCTGTCCAGAGTTTCATAGAATCATAGGATTGTGGAGTTGGAAGACGGCTAAAGTCTCACACATCAAGTTAACACGGCATTTGAGTGGCTTTTAAGCAAGATGCACACCACATATTCACAAAGTCCCCCACCGTATTAAAAAACGATTAAAGCAAATCACAGTCGCAGCAACAGAGTGGCTCTTAAAACTCACACATACTTTAGATGACAAAGGCTAGAGGTTAAAGGACTCTCCTTCCTTGGATGTTTTAAGCAGAGATTGGATGGCAGTATGTCATGAATGCTTTTGATGAGATTCCTGTATTACTGGGTCCCTGCCAACTCTCCCATTCTATGAAGATGTCCCAGCCCCTCCTGGCTCTTGGGTTGGGGCTCTGGTAGGACACCCAGTGGTGGTGGGGGATGATGCCCCTCAATATTGGGGGGCTGGCCCCCCTGGTTCAAAATATTGAGGGGGCTGGAGCCCCCAGCACTCCCTATACCTGGTGCCAGTGCCTCTGACCCAGCCCACTGCAGGGATGTGGCCCCTGCAGGATTGCCTAGAAGAGAATGTGGCCTTCAGTCAGCATGATGGTGTCAGATCTCTTCCCCAACTTGAACCAACAATCCTTTGTGCACAAGGAACAACTGGTATGCAGAAGGCAAGGGCAAGGGCAGGGTGTGTGTTTTCAGGTTCCCTGGTTGATTCTATACAGTTTAAAGTAGCTGAAAAAGACTGCTGTGTTGTGATTATAAGGGGTGATGGCTAGTGCTAGAGGGCTGGGTTGTTACACAGGCATACATCTCTCTGTGTGTTTGCATGGTAATAGTGCTGTCATTTATGCATCTTCATTGTGTAGTCGTCAGTTGCATCTGTTGGTGTGTTTGTGCTGGGCTGACTGTCATCTCTGAGTTGGTTTGACAGATGGATCTTGGCTGGATCTGTATTCGATAGTTATTTCTGTATTTTTGGCAGAAAGGCTGCCTTTTATGTATGTGGATTTATGTTAGTTTGTTGAGCCTATCAGTTTGGATATTGACGCTGTGCCTCCGTGAGGATTTCCATCGCTGTGTTGACTCTGGGCGGAAATATATGCTGGCAGATTGCATGGGTACCAGAGGGCTGCTCCCTAGCAGACATTTTGTACTTGAAAATGGATTCCCAATAACAAAGTACCCAAATATGTCAGTGAGGAAGGGTGACCCGCTTTAAAAACAAATATTAGTTGAGCCCAAGTAAGAAAAAGTCAGTTTATATCCATGGGATGAGCTCCCTTTGTTAACTGGGAAACCCAGCCAGATGTGTTTTTTAAATAAATGATAAATTATTATTATTATTATTATTATTATTATTATTATTATTAACTTGTGTGTCTGATGAAATGGACTGAGGTCCCTGAAACTTTCTGTCATGATAAATGTGCTAGCTTTATAGGTGCCACAAGACTCTGTTTTTGCCACAACAGAATAACACGACTGGTGTTCTGGAACAGTGTAAACAAATATACCTTTTTACTTTTGTTGGAAATTTAGACTGCAAATGGCTCTGGTTACTATCCATTTCTTTGCTTGTCATGTATCGGGCTTTGTATTGACGTTGGGTGAACAGCTTGTCACAGGATATATTTGTGATGTGTCATGATTACTGTACTTTACAGCAGACAAGGGAGTGCAGGCATACAAAGTAATTGGTCAAGCAAACAGTCCCCTCCTAGTCTGACTCACTGACTGCTACGGCTGCTGCTTTTGAGAGAACAAGGTGCTGGAGGGTGTATGTGTGGGACCCACACATGGCAACTGAGATCTTTGCAGGGGAGGGCTCTGGAGAGAGCCAGGAGAAGGCATGTGGGTGAACAGGCAACATGCCTGTAAATCCCAGTTGCTGGAAATCACAATCGGGGGCCTTTGCTTCTCATCCAGCAGGGCTCTTCTTATCTTTTTAAGGAGATGAAGGTAATGAGGAGAACTTATGCATTTCGCTTTGTGTCAAACACTTGAGGGCAATAAATGGTCTGGCTGAGGGAGCCATGGTGGCACCACAAAAACAGTAGTGGCAGGTGTGGTGGGGCAGAGCCACTCCCCTGGCTGACGTTAGTTTCTCTGCAGCTCACCTGGGCAGCACTGGGATGTGGCTGGGTGGTGGCTACATTGGGGCTGGAGGAGAGCTCATCAAGGCTTCCTTTTGTGCCATATTTCCAGGCACAGGCTCACAGTTTAAAGCTCAGTGTCAGAACCCTCTTCCCCCTGACTGGCGCTTCCCCAGTGAAAACCCACTCTTCAGTTCTGCAGAGAACTCAAATTGCTGTTTCTTCTGATTGCTCTAAAGAGTGGGTTTTCCTGGGGACAGCGGCAGGGCAGGGGGATAGCATTCTGACATGGAGCTTTAAACTGTGGAGCAGCACCATTTAAGTAAGCTACAGCAATGACACTACAGTAGTCTTATCCATACTTTCTCTTGTCCTACTGCTTCCCCCCAGGGAAAACTGCTCTTTAGAGCTCAGTCAGAGCAAACAGCAATTCAGGGTTTCCCCAAATTGCCGTTTTGTTCTGATCTTTTGCTGAAGAGTGGGTTTTCCCTTAGAAAAGAGCAGGGCAAGGGGAAAAAACCACTTGGACCCTTGGCTAAAAAGCGTGGGTCAAGCGGAAAATGGCTCGGACCTGTACTTTTGAGGCATGACACAAATAGGTGTGGACGAGCCCACTGCCAGCTGCTACGGACAGTTCTGACTATCTGACGTGGATTGAGGATGTGTGCAGGAAGGTGCTGCACTCAAGTCATTGCCTAAATGTCATTCTCTAAAGAGCCCGAGGTAGGCCTACTACCTGCTCCTTATTTATTCGCGAGATGTAAGTTGCATGAAGCAACTTAAATCTAATACAAAGATGACATATTTTAATTAAGAACTGTTAATGTTCTGCCACACAAAACAGGCCATTTTCTTATGGCTGTGTACACACTATAAAGCATGTTTGAAACACATTTCCACCTCAAAGAATTCTTGGCACCGTCATTGGGAATTATAACTCTGTGAGGGGTAAATGACAGTACCCAGAATTCTTTCAGGGGGAAAAAGTGCTCTGAATGTGCTTTAAAGGTATAGTGTGTAATTAGCCATAGATAATCTCACAAACGTGTTCTTTATTCTGGAGCTCTTTGGGTGACATTTTTAGCTAGGGGTTAACATCAACAAATATCACAGGCTCAGGGAGACAGCATTTGTATCAGCATTTCTTTAGTTGGTGTCATGGACAGGCTGACACATGAAGCAAATGAAATGAATTATTCAATAAAATGACCCACCAAATGAGCCTGAAGAGGGTGGCCTGAATCACTTCCATGACAAGAAGACTCAAGAGATGTTCACATTATTTAAAAGATGGGAACATAATTGATAATTCTGAACAATATAAACAATTCTAGTGTTCAACCACTAAAATGGCTGGATTAAAAACAAGAAGCACTCTCTGGGAAAGAATTGAATCAAAAAGTTTAGTTTCCTTGCAGATTTTGAAAAAATGAAAATGTGAAGCCCCATGAAAAATTCTGGAAGCAAACATTGTATAGGTGTGGATCAAAGTATTGCTTGCACCCCCTAAATGGTGGTGATGTTAATAATAAAAGCATATCTCACCAAGCTCTGTTCCCTGTGTGACATTTTGGGGCAGCGTGGCAGCTGGAGGAAGCTTTGCTGTGTGTCACAGTCAAAGAAAGCTTCAGCATCTTCTCTTCCAGTTGCCTGACCGCCTTCACCCACGATAGCCCACTTCTTAATGGATGGTGATGAGTGAAAGGTTGCCATGAAAGCTGGTGGGCAGCACTGATTGGTCCTGGCTGAAGAACAGATGTCAGGATGGATATAAACATGGGGGAGATAAAAGAATGACAGCATATTGGTCAGATTCTTCAAAGGGCTCCCTGGAAAACCTTTGTGCCAAGTTGTTTAGTTTAATCCTGAATTCACCCGGAGATGTGCATGAACTTGCACACACCCATTTGTCAGCCTCCAGGCCTAGAGCAGCTCATATCAGCTGCCCTCTGATAAATAAGTTAACAGGGCTGACAGCAGTCTTGGGGTCACATGAGTTACAAGGCTGAAAGTACTGCCTGCCAATGGGTTTCTGTGAGCAGAAAATGTGGTGGTGTACTATTGCCACCTGCTGGAATTCTCTGCAAACAGAAATTTGACAGATTTAGGGCAGACGAGCTTAAATCCTGTAGTGTATTTATTGAACCAGAGCCGGGGTTCATTATGTCTATCAGCCACAAAAGCGCCTGTTGTCTCTGTCATGTGCATTTTGAGCACTGCTGGTGTCCAAAGTTGTCGCCGCTGCTCTCTGGAAGCTGGCACAAAATCTTGCTCTTGAGGATGCAGATATGGAGAGACAGTGCAGATTTCCCACCCATTCTTTGTAAGACATTTGCCTAAAATATACTCCCAAAGTGCTGTTTCTCCTTTTGGATCTTGTAAAACCCAGTCACCTAGAGAAGAAACAATGGCTTCTTATTGAGACAAATAATTGGGCTCTTCCTAACATTAAGAACATAAGAGGCGGTTTCCTGGATCAGGCCAATGACCCACCTAGTTCAGCATCCTGTTCTCACAGTGGCCAACCAGATGCCTATGGGAAACCACTCCTCGCTCCTGTGGTTTTCAGCAACTGGTATTCAGCAACTGGTATTCAGTAGCATTTCTGCCTCCCACTCCGGGGGCGGATCATAGCCATTGTGGCTAGTAGCCATGGATAGCTCTCCCCTCCATGAATTATTAGCATAATAATTCTAAAAGCCCTGTTCTGATGAAGTGTGCTCACTGAAGGGCTGTACACTTTTTGATCTGCATGGATTAATATTGTATACACTGTCCGTGCACTTGTTGAGTGTTACATGTGAATAACTTTACAAGTCCAGCTATTTATGCAGAGTGGCGCACTATGCACTCATTAAATGTAGTATGTGAGCCCACCTTATGGGAGGCCTTAAGGGCAGACTTGATAAACTCTTTGGAATACATTCAGGAACAATTCATGTGCAAAAGAAGCAGCTTATCCATATTCTTATCATTTGGCCCTTCAAGGTCATGGGGCTGTTCACAATCTGGGCAAGAAACTGAAAACTGCAAGCAAGAGGTGCTGATCTGCTTCACGCTAAATGTTGACTTCATTCACATTCCATTTGTTCTGTTCTATCCCAAATAAGGTGATTTAAAAATTGCCAGGGCAGATATTTTTGTTGGCAAGTGTACTAAAAATACTCCTCCTTTCTCACTTTTCTTCCTCACCTTCATTTGTTTAATTGGCAACCACAAGAACTGAATGAAAAATAAATAGTTCCACCAGCAGCTGTTCAGCCCTCTAAAACTCAGGAAACACACACACACAGAGAGACCCCTTCCTAATACAATCCATTGGAAGAATGATAACTCAGTTGTGGAATGCATGCTTTTTCATGGGAAAATATTCCTGGTTCACACCCAGGTTCTGTAACTTTTTTGGGGGGGCACAGGACCATATATATATATATATATATATATATATATATATATATATATATAATATCACATCAAATATATTTCTTTGCACACTCCAGTCTTTTCCTAGCTATAGGTGTAGGACTGGGAAAGCTTTCTTGTTTTATGTGCATATCTTCAAAAAGATTAATGAGGCCATATCTTTAAGTGTTTCTCCTACCAGTCCAGGTAATTCTGAATACAACAGCACAGATGAATACAATATAGGAAAGCATTTAAAACAAAACAAAACAAAAAACCCCAGAACATCATAATTAATTAGGAGGAACCATGCAAAACTCCTCTTTTGCAAAACATTTCTGGTGTCATATCATAAAACTGACCACATGGTCTGCTTTGTGGAAATATTTACTGACATACCTAAAACACAAACACACACACTTTCTTTCTTGCAATGAAAAAGGGCACAAAACAGCAGTTATGCCAGTAAATCAGTCATATTGTTCACCCTACAGAAACAATGTTAATTATATTATACAAGCATACCTTTTCTTGCATAAAACAGGTTGCTTAAGTCAGGGTGAGCATAAAGTTGATTAGGCTCTCTTGCTGCAGATTGGCATGAGTTTCTGACTTCTAACTGTTGAACAATAACTGCAACTCTCTGATTGCTGAAGAAAACTTGGTGAGAAACTAGGAGCAATTCTTAATGTGAGAAAGCTAGGAGCTCAATCCTATTAAATTCCTGGGCTGAACATATACTCAGAGGTATACTTTTGCCTTCTTTAATTCTAAGTGTATGGGTGCCTCCAGATCATCAGTATTTTTGAGGGAGGGATTCAAATACATTCCAGGAAATTAAGGTTTACACAACTAAAGTGGTTTAAAGTGCTCTGTTGCCAAGCACGTCAAAGTTTTTTTTAAAGAAGTTAGAAAGAAAGAAAGACCTTTTCTGGTTCGAAAGAGGACAGGGAATTGCGTTGAAAAGTTTGAACTGAATGATTAATTGTAAAACATATGAACACCCTGCAAACAAGTCAGGATGAAAGTTCATTGTTATACAACCTTTCCACAAACAAATCAGAATGAATGCTTAGCAGAGATTCCATACTAGATTACTGGTACTTCCACATAAGCTTTGTGCAAACAAATTAGGATGAATACTCAGTAAATAGGTTGCCTGGAGGAGTTCTGTGTCTTGTCAGGTTTAGCGCTTCTCCCACACAAGACACAGAACACTGGCAGTTTAATTAGCTGAGGTTTATTCCTCAATAACAGGCTTACAGCAGTCCAAGCTTCTAAAACTCATCCTTCGCCATCAGAGTCAGTTGACTCGACTGGCTTCTGACCCTAACCAAGGCCAGATATACGCCACATCCTCCCCAGCCTCCTACTGGCCCACCTTTGCTCTAATTGCTTGCTCCTACTTCTTGGTGACTCAGGTGCAGCCAATTCCTCCTCCCCTGGAGGTGGAGACTCAGGTGCAGCCAATTCTGGAGATTCCTCTCTGCTAGGCATGTCCCTGACATGTCTGTTCCACTATGGGCTTATCCAAACTTACCTTTCCTCCACTCTTTCCAGGGATGGCGCAAGTGCCCCCCCTTTTTTGCTCTGGAGTCCCCCCCACAAAACCCCGCTCTTTAAAGCTGAATCAGAGGAAATGTCGAAAACCTGAGTATGTTTGCCAACTTGAGTTGGTTTGTGTGCGCCACTTATTTTTATTTATTTATTAAATTTGTATACTGCCCTTCATCCAAAGTTCAATCTTAGAGTTGCCATATTTTAAAAAGCAAAAAAGAGGATGCTATGACGACTCCCATTTTAAATACCCCCACTATATGTAGGCTATAGAAGCTGTGCATATTGCTGAGGGGGGCAGGAGAGGAGAAGAGGAAAGCAAGCCTTCAACCATCAGCTATGTCTATGTCTCATCTAGAAAGTATAGCCAGAGAAATTTTGGCAAATTTAAAAAATCCACCCGGACAGAAATTTTACCCCTGAAAAAGAGGACATGTCCTGGAAAAAGAAGACACATGGCAACCCTAAAGGACATATAAAGTTAATCAGCCCAAGGCCAGAATAAAGAGAAATGTTTTTGTCTGGAGCATAAAGATATGTAATGAAGGCACTAGGCGAGCCTCCCTGGGAGAGCATTGCACAAACGGGGCGTCACCACAGAAAAAGCGCTTTCTTTCTTTCTTTCTTTCTTTCTTTCTTTCTTTCTTTCTTTCTTTCAAAAAAGTTTATAAGATTTTATTAATACATTACAATAAAAAACTAATCGAAATGAAAACAAAAACAGAAAAAAGAAAAGAAACAAGAGCACACAAAACTCCTCTTTCACAGGTAAATCTTAACTTGACCAACACAGAGAAAGGTGAACCCTCCCAGCTCTCACGTGGGAACTTCCCTTCCTTCTCCCAGCTTCCCACCCTGGGAGATCTTCCCTTCCATGCCAACAACAATCCCAATTAGATCACACAAACCTGAAGTCTAACCACCTCAGGCTTAAGAAGGAGTCCTAGGACAGGCCCACTATTTTCATAGGAACCCCTTTCTCCTGATTACTCTCTTTACAGCATCTTTCACTTCTTTGTTCTTTACACTGTAGATCAAGGGATTCAACATTGGAATCACAACTGTGTAGAACATGGAGACCATCTTGTCCTGATCTTCTGAGAAGCTGTTGCTGGGCTGTACCACATAGATAAAGAAGAGGGTCCCAAAAAAGATGGAAACGGTGGTGAGGTGGGAGAAGCAGGTAGAGAAAGTCTTACGCCGGCCCTCTGCAGAGCGGATCCTCAGGATGGCAGCGAGGATGTAGATGTAGGAGATGATGACAAGAGAACTGCTGAGAGTGCCCAGTGTGCAGGACATGGCAAAGAGCACTAACTTGTTGATTTGTGTGTCTGAGCAGGAGAGCGATATCACTGCAGGGATGTCACAGAAGAAGTGATTGATCTTGAACTGACAGAAGGTTAACTGGAAAGTTAAGGCTGTGTGTGTAATGCCATTTAGCAGCCCCACACAATAGGGGCCAGCCAGCAGTTGGAGACAAACTTTCCTAGACATGATGACCTTATACAACAGTGGGTTAGAAATGGCCACATACCGATCATAGGCCATTGAAGCCAAGAGGTAACATTCGACACCCAAAAAGAAGCCAAAGAACCACATTTGTGCCACACACCCGGGCAAGGAAATCATTTTGCTCCCTGCAACAAAATCCATCAACATCTTAGGGGTGACAACTGAAGAATAGCAGAGGTCCACAAAGGACAAGTTGCTGAGAAAGAAGTACATGGGGGTGTGAAGCCGGGAGTCAGTCCTGATTAAGAGGATCATCCCAAGATTTCCCACGAGGGTGATGAGGTAGACCGCTAGGAAGAATATGAAGAGGAGGATATGCTGCTCTGGAGAGCCAGCAAAGCCCAGAAAGATAAATTCATGCACCATGGTGTGGTTTACATTGGCCATTCACAATGTCTCTGTGTAGAAAAGTAGAAGCTAAGTTCTACTATAGTGCAGGGAATGTAGATGAAATACAGGCTGTGAATGCAATAGGTTGTGAGGAGGGGATTTGCCACAGCTCATGCTCTGCATAAAGAAAGTCCCTGATTCAATTCCTGGAGTCTCAGTGAAAAAGAGAATCAGGCTGCAAATGACACGGAAGGTGTCTCTGTGCTGGTGGAACACAGAGAGCTGCTGCTGGTCAGAACAGACAAAATAAAGAAATACGAGTTTTCTATTTCAGCTGTTGCATATTTAGGAAGCTATTTTAAGAAAAAAAGATGATTTCTGAAAATATGCACGATACCTATAATGTTCTCTGCTTTCCTTTTTACAAGATTCTTGTTCTGCCTAATGCACTTTCTACCTTTTAAAGAAGTCAATGGCTAGGAAAATGTTGCAAGAAATGAAAAGCAGGGGCACTGATGGAACGAGAAGGATTTTTTAAAAAATCCTATTTGAGGTGCGGGGAGGGAGAAAAATGTGTCCAGACAATCCACATTGTGAAATTTGAAGCAAAAACCAACTATCCCCACAAGCCTTCCCATAACCCTATGAGTCATTAACTTTTTTATCTCTTTTACTTAAAACAAAATACACTTCCCATAATTGTCCTGGCCTCCTTAGGAATGTGGCACTGAAATTTTTTGGCAACTTCTTTCGCTGATTCAATCTTACATCAATGGGAACATTGAAATGATGGTAGTAAGTTAACTTGTAGCAATTTCTGAGTTGCTTTGGTCTGAGAACCTGTACTCACTGGAGAGAAAGTCCCATTTGAACTTAATGGGACTTACTTTGGGAAGTCTTGTATAGGATCTTAATGCACATCTTCCAGATGAGGTTTTCTTGGTCTCTCCAGGGTTGTTTACAAAGGCAAAGATCTTTATATCCTTCTGAGTTCTTCAGTCTGGGGCTTTGAGGACCAATTTCTACTGTCAGGTGGTAAAGCTGCAATTATTTTTTGTTCCATTGGGTATGAACATTAATTGCACTGAAAAATGTTTTCCTACAAAGATGCTTTGGCCACAGTAAAGCCTGTCTTTTTCATCTGCTAACCTTGAAAAACAAGAATATTACTTAGAATGCCATTAGCATTCTGAATTCAGAATAAATGTAGCCTCATAGAATCTGAAGCTGTTTAACACTTGCATTTGACATTATTTATTTCATTTATATCCCACTTTTTCTCCAAGATGCTCAAAGTGGCATCAGTATCCTGAATTCCGAAAGCACAGGTCAAAGTGGTTTTCTGCTTGTCCCATGAGTCTGAGTGGCTTTGCCTTCGTCCCAGCGCTTTCCTCTGGAAAGCCTCTCTTTAGCACTAAATTGGAACCAACAACAATCTGTGGAGAACTCAATTGTCATTTGTTCCATTTCAGTGCTAAACCATGGGTTTTCCTGGGGGAAAGTGGTGAGGCAAACAAAGGTGTGAATAAGCCCTTAAATCTGTCCTTGTAAAACTAAGCAGGGAGGAACGTGGGGACAAAAGTAGAATTAATTGGTTTCGCCTGTCACTGGCTCTGGCTGCACCTACTGTTAACCTCCTTGCCTTCTGCCCTACCAGATCCAATGGGCACCGGCCCCTGATGTGGAGGGAATAGCAAGCAAGACATTCTTGCGGGGTGTAATACTGCAATGAATTGTTTTGCTGTAGTAGCACAAATGGTAATGTTTTCTGGAAGTGGATAACAAGGTGTTTGGAGCGATAAAGTTCATACATCATTGATGCAAAACATTGACTTCCTTTTCAGCATTTGATAGATAATCCAGAACAGCCTTTACTGGGTCATGAGTATTATGGTGACTTTGCGAGCATTTGTTTATTCATATTTTGGGGAAGGGTGAATGGAAAGCAGAAGGACAGAGAGCAACATAGGTTCATAATCTTGCTCCAAGGCAACTTCCAGCATTTCTTCAAGTATTCTCAAAGCCATTTTAGATATTATTTCCTAGCATGTACTCACATCTTCAGCCTCTGAGATTTTCCTGCTAGAGACCTCACCAATCCCATATGTCTAGCTAGCCATGATGACCTTCTGCCAACTGTTCCCTTAACTAACTTTATTTTTTATGTTAAGCATGTAAATTAATTACATTTAATTTTTTCCTTTTCTTAGCCGCTCATTGCAAACTCTGCCCTTTTATCCATATGTATAGATTGATATAAAAGGTAAAGGGACCCCTGACCATTAGGTCCAGTCGTGACCGACTCTGGGGTTGCGGCACTCATCTCGCTTTATTGGCCGAGGGAGCCAGCATACAGCTTCCAGGTCATGTGGCCAGCATGACTAAGCCGCTTCTGGCGAACCAGAGCAGCGCACGGAAATGCTGTTTACCTTCCCGCTGGAGTGGTACCCATTCATCTACTTGCACTTTGACGTGCTTTCAAACTGCTAGGTTGGCAGGAGCAGGGACCGAGCAGCAGGAGCTCACCCAGTTGCAGGGATTCGAACCGCCGACCTTCTGATCGGCAAGTCCTAGGCTCTGTGGTTTAACCCACAGCGCCACCCGTGTCCCTTTATAGATAGATATAGATATACATAAAATCAATTTACAGACAATAAATAAAAACACAGACATTACACAGTTATATGTATATATATTTAATAAACTTTTTTTTAAAAAAATCTTCTTTTCTTTACAAATGCCAAAGTGCAAAACAACAAGCATCCACCCCCCCACCCCGAAATACCTTCTACCATGCAAACACATATTTATTACATACCAGGTTTCCCCTTTAAGGTCTTAAGGGGAACTACACATCCCACACATGCATAGGCTGGAAACAAAAGCTGCTGCTACTTATGCTTAACGTTTCCCTTCCCAAAGCTTATAGGCGTTAGCCTGACCCCTGGGACCCTTTTCCTCTTGCAGTGTTCCAAATGTATATTTGGAAGCCAAACATACATTTGAAATGTTTGTGAAGAAAAGAGGTTCAGTGCAAAACTCGATGGTTGATTTTCCTTAACAAATCACCATCAATGGGTGGAAGGCAAACAGGATCAGAATCAAGGTGAGAGGTTTGTAGGGGGCTTTAAGTCTCTGCCCCATCATAGTCCCAATGAGAATCTACCCACACTTGCTAATTCTTCTTTCCCCTGCTCCAACCTTGTGTTATCATGGAAATCATGGGACAAATGTCATGTCAAGCTTGGTGCTTAAGGAGAATTTGGAGCAGAGGAGCTGCAGGCAGGGAAAGGGCCAGGGAGCCCTGATTGCTGCTGGTCCAAATTTTTGCCCAAGGGAAAAGCATCCATAGATTTTTTGCTATACACACATATATTTAGTGTGCAGTCCCCTGCTTAATGCTAGTGCAGAGTTTGAAATTTAATTCAATGAAGAATGACCAGATCACATTGATCTGAATATATTTCTCTGCTTCTTAGACCAGCATCCATTAATCTACGCCCCTCTGCTTCTATTGCAATATTTATTTATTTGCTGTGAAATTCCTTTCTTGAACTGTTAGCCATTTAGATATTAGCTGTTTCAACATTTAACAGTGCAGTTATGTACATGTCTACTCTGAAGTAAGACTTCTCGAACCCAGACGAGAGTGCACAGAATTACCACCTGATTGAGCAGTCCTCAGGTGGTGGTGGTGATAAGATGGTAGAAGAATCTTCACTTCGCTCCTTCCAGGGCAGAAGGTGTATGGGAGCTGCTTTCATGTCCTTTTCTTTCCCTATGGTATATATTTTTTAAAATCCTTCCCACAAACATAAATGGGAAAGAAAACCACTATTCTACCTGCAGGACTCAGAGAGTTTCATGCTGTTTGGGGGCCTTTTCAAGTCTTCGCCAACACACTTCCTTTCATGAATTCCCCAAACACAAATGAATGGAAATAGCAACTTTTTATGCAAAAAAGTGAATAACTGCATATCAGGAGAAATGTTTCATTCTAAGCACCCTCTTGACTGCGTCTTTCACATCTTTGTTTCTTAGGCTGTAGATCAAGGGGTTTAACATGGGGATCAGCACAGTGTAGAACATGGAGACTGTCTTGTCTTCATCTTCTGAGGAGCCAGAGCTGGGCCGGACATAGATGAAGAAGAGACTCCCAAAGAAAAGAGAGACAGCAGTGAGGTGGGAAAAGCAGGTAGAGAAAGCCTTGTGCCTCCCATCACTGGAGCGGATCCTCAAGGTGGCTGCAAGGATGTAGATGTAGGAGATGATGACAATAAAGCCACTGACTGTTCCAAACATGAAGGAGAGACCAAAAAGCACCATCAAGTTGAAACTTGTGTCAGAGCAGGAGAGCGATATGACTGCAGGGATGTCACAGAAGAAATGGTTGATTGTGGACTTGCAGAAAGTTAACTGGAAAGTTAAGCTGGTATGTGTTGTAGCATTTAGTAGCCCTGCGAGATATGGTCCAACCATCAGCTGGGCACAAATTTTCTTTGACATAATGACTGTATAGAGAAGAGGCTTGGAAATAGCTACGTACCGATCATAAGCCATGGCTGCCAAGATGAAACACTCAGTGGCCACAAAGAGACAAAACATAGCCATCTGTGCTGCACATCCAGGCAAGGAAATGCTTTTGCTTTTTACGACAAAATCCATCAACATCTTAGGGGTGACAACAGAAGAATAGCAGAGGTCCACGAAGGACAGCTGGCTGAGGAAGAAGTACATGGGGGTGTGAAGTCGAGAATCGATCCTGATTAATAGGATCATCCCAAGATTCCCCACAATGGTGATGAGGTAGACTACAAGGAAGAATAGGAAAAGCAAGATTTTCAGCTCTGGTGAGTCAGTGAAGCCCAAAAGTATGAACTCATATATGGTGCTGTGATTTTCCCTTGACATGCCTTTTAGTTCTGTAGAGAATGTAGAGAAGAAAACACAAGCGATTTTGGTAAAACTCAAGTTTGGATCACAGAAAACTCTGAATCCTTGTATCTTGCTGGCTATCATGCCTCCTATGGTTATACCTGTGCTGACCCAAGACATTTTGTTGCCTGAGGCAAACTAGAAAATGCACTGCCAGTCATTGAACTAGGACTAGGACACTGAACACTAAGCAGATGATAACTACCACCCTCTTAGACATACCCTCTTAAGCTATTTTTAAAATGCATTTGTTTAGTTTTGTTGTGTGTTGAGCATACATTGAGCAGAAGGTTTGAGTCAGTGACTTCCAAAGTCTGTGCCAACCCTAAAATGATTTGATTTTAGGCTTCCAGTTTCGCTCTGTCTTAATGATGATTGAGGGTAATTATCCTTGTAAATTTCCCCAGGGATGGGGGTTGGGTGGGCTTCACTCACAGTTTGTCTCGGTACCTGGCTCTTGTTCCGGCATGGAATGTGGGAGTCAGGGTGTCGCTGAGTACAAAAGCACTTTGCCTGCCAAAACCCCTCCAATGTCACCATTAAGAAATAGAGGTTCTCCTGTTAATTAGAGCTTAATTGGACTAAAGTACAGACATGTGCTGGAAGAGATGATATCACAAACTGTGGAACAAACGAACTGCAAGGACTTTAAGGTTTGAACGTGAGATAAGACTTCATTCAGTGCAAAAGACGGGGGGGGGGAGCCTACGGCCTCTTCATTTAAAGTTTTCTTCTCTACATTTATGATTCGGCAACCCTCCCCTGAATATTAGTTCAAATTATATTTGTAGAAGCAAGGATGGAAGAAATTGGAATTTAAATATGGAATATAACTTCAAACTGAACTGTGTGTTTAAAAAACGGAACAGGGAGTGAAGCTCTATTTTGCAAAAGGTTTACTATGGAAACTGAGAGCTGACTCTTCCCCATCCTTTATTATTTACAGTGTGAACTGAATAACACATAGAGGACTTGGAATTTAATTTAATTGAAAGGATAATTGCTCACATATCTTCAGTTGGAAGGAAGGATGAAAGGGGTGTGAACTGCCAAGAAACTGATAGGGCTCTTTATTGAGTCATCTGCAGTTCGACAGACCACTCTTGTTCCCAAGCTGAGACGAAAAACAGGTAATATTTATTTGGACAGAGTGACTTTTGCAGCTGTTGTTAAAGCTGAAAAACAACAGAGCATGGGATGGAGAAATTTCTGGAACAGCAATAGGATATCAGTTCTGCCCAAGGCATGGCAGGCAGGAAGAAACACCACGGACAGAATAATTGCCACACACAGGAAGAACAAGCATATAGTTTGAGTTCCTCACTTTTAGTTTTATAAATCATTTAATGTGTCAGCACAAATAATTAAATGCAGATTTCCAAAAAATAGCAAGGAGATACAAGAAGGCCTTCTTAAATGAACAATGCAAAGAAATAGAGGAAAACAATAGAATGGGAAAAACCAGAGATCTGTTCAAGAAAACTGGAGATATGAAAGGAACATTTCGTACAAAGATTACCATAATAAAAGACAAAAGTGGTAAGGACCTAACAGAAGCAGAGGACATCAAGAAGAGGTGGCAAGAATACACAGAGGAATTATACCAGAAAGATATGGATGTCTCGTACACCCCAGGTAGTGTGGTTGCTGACCTTGAGCCAGACATCCTGGAGAGTGAAGTCAAATGGGCCTTAAAAAGCACTGCAAATAACAAGGCCAGTGGAAGTGATGATATTCCAGATGAACTATTTAAAATTTTAAAAGATGATGCTGTTAAGGTGCTGCACTCAATATGCCAGCAAGTTTGGAAAACTCAGCAGTGGCCAGAGGATTGGAGAGGATCAGTCTACATCCCAATACCAAAGAAGGGCAGTGCCAAAGAATGCTCCAACTACTGCACAATTGCACTCATTTCACACGCTAGCAAGGTTATGCTTAAAGTTCTACAAAGCAGGCTTAAGCAGTATGTGGACCGAGAACTCCCAGAAGTGCAAGCTGGATTTCGAAGGGGCCAGAGACCAAATTGCAAACATGCACGGGATTATGGAGAAAGTTAGAGAATTCCAGAAAGACATCTACATCTGCTTTATTGACTATGTAAAAGCCTTTGACTGTGTCGACCACAGCAAACTATGGCAAGTTCTTAAAAAAATGGGAGTGCCTGATCACCTCATCTGTCTCCTGAGAAATCTCTATGTGGGACAAGAAGCTACAGTTAGAACTGGATATGGAACAACTGACTGGTTCAAAATTGGGAAAGGAGTACGGAAAGGCTGTATATTGTCTCCCTGCTTATTTAACTTATATGCAGAATTCATCATGCGAAAGGCTGGGCTGGATGAATCCCAAACCGGAATTAAGATTGCCGGAAGAAATAGCAACAACCTTAGATATCCAGATGACACAACCTTGATGGCAGAAAGTGAGGAGGAATAAAAGAACCTTTAATGAGGGTGAAAGAGCAGAGCGCAAAATATGGTCTGAAGCTCAACATCAAAAAAACGAAGATAATGGCCACTGGGCCCATCACCTTCTGGCAAATAGAAGGGGAAGAAATGGAGGCAGTGAGAGATTTTACTTTCTTGGGCTCCATGATCACTGCAGATGGTGACAGCAGTCACGAAATTAAAAGATGCCTGCTTCTTGGGAGAAAAGCAATGACAAACCAAGGCAGCATCTTAAAAAGCAGAGACATCACCTTGCCAACAAAGATCCATATAGTTAAAGCTATGGTTTTCCCAGTAGTGATGTATGGAAGTGAGAGCTGGACCATAAAGAAGGCTGATCGCCAAAAAAATTGAATTATGGTGCTGGAGGCACCTGAAGAAGATTTCTTCAGGAAATCAGCCCTGAGTGCTCACTGGAAGGACAGATCATGAAGCTGAGGCTCCAATACTTTGGCCACCTCATGAGAAGAGAAGACTCTCTGGAAAAGACCCTGATGTTGGGAAAGATGGAGGGCACAAGGAGAAGGGAACGACAGAGGACGAGATGGTTGGACAGTGTTCTTGAAGCTACCAGCATGAGTCTGACCAAACTGCGGGAGGCAGTGGAAGACAGGAGTGCCTGGTGTGCTCTGGTCCATGGGGTCACGAAGAGCTGGACATGACTAAACGACTAAACAACAACAACAACAAATAGAAGCTATTAATATTGCAGTTGTTGTATGAGGGATTATTATTATGACCAGAATGTAATAGAAATTAATAAGATTTTGGAACACAGAAATAAAGAAAATAATCAAATCATCAAATCTAGCATGTGCGGGGGCACTGTAACTAAATTATACAATTCGGTATTTGAATTATTGGTATTAATAATTGTATTATAAATTGGCATTGTTATATTTGGCTATTATTGGACTGTAATTGAAAACTAATAAAAATATTACTTTACAAAAGAAAGTGATATGATTCTAATCTGAGCAAGAGCCCCCAATTATTGCAATTTAATGGTACTAGTGTAATAGTGTGGATTTTTACTCAGGTGAATTTACTATATGTTCAGTGGAACTTACTCATGGGAAAGTGTTCAAAGGACTCATTTGTTTGTGGGGGTTCAAAAACCCATGACCCAACCCCCAAGCGTAGCCTTCAGTCTTGAAACAAACATCAGTGGGAATGATAATATTTAAAATAAAAATGAAGTCACTCTCTTCTTTCCACTGCTGACTCCTCATACCACCACCCTTCAGCACTTTCCTTCCCTCAGCCAGTGCCCCTTCCAGGCTCTGCCTGATTAATGTGTGCTTCCTATGTCAGGTAGCTAGTCAGGATGAGAGGGAGGAGGTGAGCTAGGATCCTGATCTCTCTCCCTTCCCAAATCTGCCACAGAAGTGCCCACCTCAGTCAGACTCACTGCAGAGCAGCCTCTGGGCTATATGCAGAATTGTACTGTATTTTCCCGTGTATAACACGCCCCTGTGTATAAGACACCCCCTATTTTTGGAGACTCCAAATGAAGAAAATGGGGGGAGATTGCCGAAAGATGTTGAGCTTTTTTGGGAGAGGATTGACCACAGTTGTTGAGATTTTTTTTTTTTGGGGGGGATGCCCAAAGTGGTAGAGGGTTTTGGGGGGGGGGGAGATTGAAAATTGCTCACCCATCTGAGTTATGCATTGCCGAAAACAACAATCAACTGTCTCATCACTGCCAGCAGCAGCCAATTGACCAGTCAATTGTTGCAGTGACAGCCAATCGATGCCAGACCTCATCGCAGCCACCAATCACCCACCCAATCGCCACTTACTATCTCCGGCTCGAGGCAGGAACCAATCCCCCGTCCACCCAATGCACTAGCCATGCATAAGACGAACCAAATTTATAAACATAATTTAATCATAAAAAACCTCGTCTTATACACGGAAAAGTACGGTAACTTTAGGGGGATCTTCTGGATACTGATTCATAATTCAGAATCAATGACTAGGCAAAGTTTGCATTTTTGTCATCCTTTATCTGTTATGAAGCCAATAAATCATATTTTCTGAGCTATGTTGGCTACTTAGTGGCATGCAGGAAGTATGCAAAATAACTTCTGACCTCCACCTGATGATGATCCTACAAATTGCCTCCTGACATAATGCTATGTACAGTATAAATCAGAAATTATGAAGAGAGCCTACCATTGTCCTGATGGCTTTGCTGCAGTTTAATTCCTTCATCCATCATCTATTCTGAGACCCTTTCCCCAAACGTATGCTTCTTCAGCTGAAATTCTGCAGGGTGCTCCTGCTTCTATCACAGAAGTAGCATCTACAGGGATGATATAACCGACGGTCTGCCATAAAGGGATACCTCATTCTGGGAATTTGTGATATGGACTCTCTGAGGAATTTGAAAGCTCTAGTGGCAATTGCAATTAGCTGTTCTACAATGGAGCAATTTTCTCTGGACTCAATCACACCAGTGTCCATAGGTAGGAAAGTCAAGAGGAAAAAACATTGCAATAAGAAATATAGTCAACCATGTATTAGGT